AGGAATTAGCTGAAGTTGACTGCTTCTCGTACTTGGGTAGCTGCGTGACCAACGACGGTATCGCATCAAAGGAAATAACCACCCCTATTTCCAAGGCTCGAGCAGCGTACGCAGGACTGAAGCACCTGTGTTGGCGAACTGATGTGTCATTGAAATTGAAAATTCGCGTATACTGCGCCACTGTACGATCAGTTCTGTTTTGCGGTTGTGAGACCTTGAACTTGCTGGTAGAAGACATCCGCCACCTTGTGGTTTTCGACATTCGATGCTGATGTAGTCTGGCCCAAGTTGGATGAATTGAGCGGGTTAGTAACTTCGAAGTAAGTCGTCGGGTATTTGGAAATGCATCGAACAAGAACCGTCTGTCGCATCGAATCCTGTTCAATAGGCTTCGTTGGTTAGGATCTGTCTTGCGTACGTCCGATGCTCACCCTCCGCAGCACGCCTTATTTGCGGTGGCTGTTGCAGGCTGGAGAAAGCCAGATGGAGGCCAGCAGACGACGTGGAGACGAGGTATGAGGAGGTGCACAGAGCGATTAGGTAGAGTAGGTGTCTCTCATCTTCCGGGTTGAGGTCCAAAAGACTCAGTAACCGCATGGTTGGAGACACTGAAGGTCATGGTTGCTAACCGACAGCAATGGCAATCTTGCTATCACTTCTTATCAGACCAGAGTACTGAAAATAGTATGTATGCACACACAGTTGGGTTGTGTACTCTGTGTGTTGACCATAGCGGTTCGCTTTCTTTCGCTGTCCGTAAAAATGGCTGCGATTCCTGTCCTCCTTACACATTATTACTTACCTTGTATGCAAAATGAGTTTGTCAGCGATTAGTGAAGTTCGCTTCACTGCATTACACTGTACAATGATGATGATGATTATGCTTTGGTTCATCAGCTCAGATGTTGATCTTTTACTTTTTTACTTGATTTAAAACACACTTGTACGTAGTCAGTCAGACTTACCGTCAGCAGCTGTGAAGGCAGGTCATCAGGGAGCACCTCCGGAGATATCTGGGACAAATAGATTTACTCACCTCAATATTCATCCTGGGAATTTTATCTTCTCATAAGGATGCCAAGGACAGTGCAACTCCTCGTTTTTATCTTGTTAGTTGCTGGCAAAGTTGAGAGTTGTTTTCTGTACGTGAGTTCCATCACCAGAGGCTGTTCGAAATGTTTTGTTGTGTAGTCGTTTGTGTTGATTTATCTTAAAATTGATCCGTTTGTTTGTTCCTTCTTCTCGTGTCTCAGACCTTTGTGGATCCAAATGACTATTCTGTGGTTCGATTTTGGATATGCGGCGCACATCCTTATACCTCCAAGGACTCCACTATCTCCGATCAAGCAAGTTCTCCCAAGGAGCCCTTGAGTTCGACTCAAGACGAGATTGATTCTAGCCACGCGGAAGCGGTACCCAAACAGACTTTTGGTGTTCGGGTTATGCGAGTTGCTAAAAACGTGGCCGCACTCACAGCACGGCTGATACGATCGGATCTTCGTCGGCGTCGAGCGTCTAAACAGTTTTGTCTGGACAAAGTTCTGATGGCTGTTCAAACAAAAAATGAAGATGTGCTGCACTTGCGGTTATTTCAGGTGAAATTTGGTCTCAATTTACTTGAAATTAAAACATACATGCATGCATATACACACACATAGATACATACATACATACATACATACATACATACATACATATATATATATATATTGTGACGAAAATGCACTTCCTGGGTACAAGTATGTGAATGAACTGACAAAAAATTACCTGGTACGCATGCCTGACAAGCGGCAAAAACCGCGAAACCGGTCGTATGCTTCCAGGGAAATTTTGTCCAGTCATTCACATACTACTTGCTAATATATATATATACGGTTTCATGCAACTGTAGCCACATTGTGTATGAACATACATATGTGTGGTTTTTTTGCACATTTTGCTACGCTCATCTTTTGCCTTTTGCTTTTATCTTAGCTTTTCATCAGTCTTGCTCAACACCATGTTTAATATGTAATGGGGCTTCTTGACACATCACTAAATAATCATTTATCACCTCAGTTTAGTTTTTACAACCATTAACCATGCGCTTTCGTTCGCCGGCTTTGGTTACTGTCTTTTGGTGCTCCATCTGGATAGAAGAGCAGAAAAAAGATTGGAATGTTAAAAGCAAATTCAAGCAAAAGATGAATAATTCATATAGAATGGTGTTAGGGGAATAATGAGTGGATGCAAGAGCGCCACTATTAGCGATATCCAGCCATAGCACTCAGTGTTTCTAACCATCGATGACCATCATCCCGAGGTCCCCAGTCGGGGAGGCTTACACGACCTATATGGCCGTGTTTCTTGATTAACGTTTTCATACCCTCATGCCAGGTCTTAGTTTGACCACCCTTGGCTTTTTTCCATCAAGAATGGCCTTTCCGTTCCCGCAAAAAATCCAAAGGCGCACCTGTCATAGGTTCCTCAACATGCGGTCACACGCAATCTCCTGATGTTTGCGGTGTACCAAAGGCTTTCGTGTTTTTTTTCATCGCTGGCCCGCATACAGAAAACCATCCACGACATAGATCAGAACATCGATTAATTGGCTGTGGTCTACTAGTGTGGTAGTGATGAGAAAACACCGCCACGAGAAGGCAGTGAGTAGTGTTTCCTCAGCAGAGGCTATTCGAGACGCTTGATCGTGTGGGAGCATTTCGCGAGGTGCAAAGGAAGGGTGACCAGCCGCAACCCTGTACTGGTTGTAAACCTTTGACAAGGGCTCTTCGCCTTAGTGGAACATGTCCACTCGCACGCAATCCTTCGGGAACAGCTATGAGGTTCGTCAAGTGCGCTACATTACGCATCTCTCTTCCCTACACTGTGACGTACGGAATCTCCCCTCTCTCATTGTTTGCACTGTGGTGCAATAAGCAAAAAGGCAGCTTGGCAAAGCATGGCTCTACAAATACGTGCTCGTTGTCCACAAACAACTTCGATAGGTTCTTAAATGTGCAAATGTACACTTCCCACCTTATAGGTCGACTGAAAGGATAGCTTTTTTATTACACACTTCCGTGTGATGAACAACAGACGGGGTAAACCCCATAGTCACGAGGACCTGCTGTTCAGTGATGGTAACCAGTAACCTTAGTCCCAGGACTTGGTGTGATGAACCAAATAAGGCCTCCGGTGGGTTAGGCGTGGCATTGAACCGGACGATAACAAAGCTACTTACCACCAAAGTTGGGTGGCGGTGGCGGGGCTCAAACCATAAGGTCCAAATCACGCCTACGACAGCGACTAAACCACTGCACCGCCACCACCACTCTTCGAAACCATCGTACGATATTGTCACTTCAATGGTTGTGCAAATTTAATTGGGCACGTCTCCAGCTCGTAGATGGAAGAACGGATGCCATGATTAACCGGGTATTAAACAGTCTCGGATAATCAGCGGCAATGCCCGAGGATGCAGGGGTTTTTCACCTGATAAACAATCTCTCCGAAAAAAGCCACAAATATTCGTAGAAAGTGTCGTGGCTTGTACCAATCTGATCCACCTCCAAATAAGGCCGACATCATCATCATCATCATCAGCCTGTAACCCCGATAAATAGCATTTAGCTCAGCAAGGAGATGCCTCTTTGAAGAATAAGGCCAAGTGATACTGGGGATACTTATTGTGCTAGATTCCCAGGATTCTTGTTTTTATGAATGTTTTACTTCCTCTTTTATTCATAGAGAATACAAATGCACAGTCAACTTTCGGGAATGGGGCCCGCGGCCATTCTTAGGCTGCCTGGTAAAATGTAGAACTGAAGAGAACGGGTGGTGGTGGCGGAATCCAAACTCAGGACCTCTAGGTCATCGTTTTAATGATAATGCTAACCACTCGATTACCGCCGGTTTCATCTGTTAAGCTAACGTAGGGGGAAGTTGACTAATACGTTTCCGGTTAAACTGTTGGACTAAAGTTCGAAAGATTGTTAAAGTACCACAGGAAATCCCTAGTGTTGTGTAGTAGGCTCTCGTGTTACTGCACTCATTGTCCATTTTCTTTCCAATTAATTTTACCGTGGGAAAAACCAGAATCATTGCTTCCAGAAGCTATAGTGCTCCAATTACTAATTGAATTAGCTATTTAAATTCGTTTTCTTCCCTGCAATCCACAAACCTGACATAACCATTCATTTTCACTCATCTCTTGGTTTTAATAATTAGAAAATCCGAGTGTAATCATATCTTTGATTTATTCCCATCCTAGATTGAATTTTTATCAGAGTATTTATTCTACCCCACGACTTTGAGTTATCAGGTGTGTTGTATACTTTTTATTCCTGATGCTATTAAGCGGTTCACTTAAACAGTCATTCAAAATGATTGAACGCAGCCCAGAAATCATGTGAAAGTCGTAGCACTCTTCTTTCTGAAGACTATCACAGTAATGTTGAAATCAAAATGGCTGTTACACAACAGCATACGGTAGATGAGTCGTCAAAATACTCTCCTCGTTGCTTTCTGTTCGGTCTCCTTTTCCTACAGAACGTGCCTTGTTCCGCTCAAGGCCATTCGCGTACAGACAATCTGCGCTACTTACTACCGGTTCTGCGATGTTCTCCACTGGGCCTGCTGGATCGTGTCGTGTTGTTGGCCACCTCGGCTGTGGCTCTTGGTAGTTTGGCACTCGTTGCACCGTCCGCGTACCTATTCGCCTCAGATCCCAGTTTGGTTTTTGCCTGGTGTTTAGCCACTTCAGCGGGTGCTGGGGCCGCGGCCACTTTGGTTCGGGCCCGGTACTGGAAAACACAAACAACACACACAAATTGGTTGAGACAGTTGGTAAGTAACCGATGTGTTTGTGTTGCTAACTTTCTGAAAATCCCGTAATTATGTGATGAGACAATCTTAGAGTTGGCTTTGCCATGTTCCCCAGCTAAAGTTTTTGCCTGTCTACACCATGTAATATGCCCTCGTAATTATTGGCTGTGCACCCTGTTACAGAGGACAACAAGCGGATACGATCGTGGATAGAGAGAGAGAACACGAGAGCAGGAACGACACGCTTTACTCGTCTATTAATAGCAGTACATGGGCTGAAAAACAAAAGGAACGACGTGGTTAACAGCGTACAGAAACAGAACAAATAACAAACACGGCATTCGCCCCGGCAGAGAGAAAAGGATGTTCGTTATAGATTAATGATGATTTGTTTGAAAGGAAAGAAGAAAATAATAGAAGATAACTAGGCTTCTCTGTTCCGTAGATTGTAAGGTC